AAGTCTCTACCCCGCCCCATAAACACTCTTTTTCCATAAGCTAGAAGGCCGGTTCTCAGCTGGGCTGATTCTAATGCCTGAGGCCATTTAGCAATGCTTAGAGATGTTCTTTGTTGCAGTAACTGGGGGTGGAGCACTGCTGGCTCTTTGGCGGGGAGAGGCCAGGAAACTGATCAAAGTCCTACATTGTACAGGACAGCCCAACCCCAGAGAATCATTTGGCCTCAAATGTTGGCCATGCTGAGGCTGAGAAGTAGGCTTCACAGAGCTCATTTCTGCTGCAGCCCAAGGGCATATGCCTCATTATCTGGCAAAGTTCAACCTTAGCATCCTAGGTTGGCACAAGCTTGCTCATGTGCAGTAAGACAGAGCACGCAATCTCACAGGGTATGTGCTCTTGGAAAGATGTGGAACCCACAGCCTTCAGATGTGACTTCCAGGCCGAATGACATCGGGAGACGACTGAATGAGCTAAACTGTGTGAATGGCAAACAGGAAAATCCAGATGACAAGCCATTCTGTGGGACAGCTGGCCCAGCCTTAGCGCTAAGTGAACAGGAACCGGACTTACAGTATAGAGAACGAAGAGCTGTAATGCTCACTCAGTGTGTGGCCAGGTAGTATCTCAGAAAAACTACTGTACAGGGCCACTTTGGGGAATCAACCAAGTAAACTTTGACATAATTATGGCATTACACGAAATAAAATTTAGTATAAAGGGCAAGTAGAAAATTGTTAAAAATAGGTACAGTAAAAGTTCCAGAGGCTATGCAAGGTTCTGTGATAGCTCCCGTTGGCTGTCCACTCTTCCTATCTGGAAAGAGGGAGCTTCACATGGAAGATTGCCTCCATAGACAGACCTTTGAGTGGGGGAATTTTCTTAATCGCTAATTGATGCAAGAGGGCCCACCCTACTATGGGCAGTGCCATTCCTGGGTGGATGGTCCTAGGGATGTGTAAGCTGAGCAAGCTAGAGGAAGAAAGCCCGGAAGCAGCATTCCTCTGTTGTCTCTGTTTCGGTTCCTAGTGCAGGTTCCTGCCTTGACTTCCTGTCTTGGCTTGCCCGTGATGGATTGTAACTTTAAGCCAAGCAAGCCCTTTCTGCTCCAAGTTGCTTTTGGTCACAGTTTATACCAGCAACAGAGAAATAATCTTGGGCAAGTTCTAACACTGACAATCTGAGCAGTGGGAAGATTGTACATAAATGCTTTTTGCTTTTTTATGTTTTCACTTTTTCTACAGTAGATGCATACTTCTATAATATTAAAAAGTATTAGAGTTTTGGATACAGTTTAGATTGATGAGCTAGGCTGCCTGGTAGTGGTTTGTATAGATCTAGGAATGGTGGATATTCACAGAGGGATCACAGGAGGTCTGTTTTCAGAGAAGTTAAAAATAACAAGCAGGAGGGAGAGATAATCTTATGGGCCCTGAAGAGGAGAGGAGCAAAGCATCAGACTTCTGGGGAACTGGGAATTACAAACACGCATTGGCGTTTGTATGTGGGGTCTGAAGTAGCAATAAGCAAGTCGTTATGATTGAGGACAGAATCGAGAGGAAGGGCAGTTAGATCCACATAAAAACACTCAAGAGACGTTCTGCCATCACGGACACTGAAAACTGACTTTCCACGGAAGCCAGGACACAAGCTTCTGAAATATGACGTTATCAGAATTGTTAAGTGGGCTTTAAACACAGACAACATATTTGTGGAATTGGATGCTGATGGGCGCAGGATACTAATATTGTAGGACTTCACACCCTTGCTTGCCCAGCATTAAATGCTGGAGTCAGAAGGAAGCAATCAAAGATCATTCTCCATGGCAAACCTGCAAAGCAATCCTGCAACATGACAAGGCCATGTCCCATTGTCAGGGTCAGAAGGAAAATTCTGGCATTCTGACAGCTCACATGGGCATGTGTGGTTCCCACGCACTTCTCTTCTCTTTGTGGTTTAATTCCATCAAGGGCCACAGAGCTAAATGGACATCTCAGCTTCCACCCTTCTTGCTTCTCTGCCTCAGTCCCGGAACACTGTGATGTAAGCCTATCTCCCAGCTCCAAAGGAAGCATTTGAATGTCCCCAGATATGTGGTTTTTTTTTTTTGTTGTTGTTGTTGTTGTTAGTTTGATTGGTTGGTTTTAGACCCCCCCTCCCACCTCCCAAGCTTGGGCTATGATCAACTAAAGGATGTGTTCTCTACTTAGAGTTGATGAACAGCTGATATTTGGGGTTCGGAAATCCTCAGGGGACACTCCATAGGTGTGGTTAAGCAAATGGCCCAGTCTTAGGTGACTGGGTGAGTCCCCAGAGCCTGGCCGTTGGAACTGCCCATATCAGCATCTAATCTAATGTTCCTTGAGACAGAACAGTGTCTCCCAGGAAAGTTTGTGACTGAGGGTTAAGACAAACTCTTTATTTAAAATACCAAGCTCCTTCCTTGAAATATGCTGCCATTAAAAATAAATGGCTATATTTGTTTTCTAACAATAATAACCATTTTACTATCTTAAGGTTCCCTGGAGTGGCATCCCTGTTAGAAACAGGAGTTATACATGATGAGATTATATACACGCAAGCTTTTTGTTGTCAGGTTAGTTCTTGATGAGTTAAGAGAAATACATTTTCTATTGATATTCAACATCTGGTGTCCTATGACATCTGTAACTAAATAAGCAATTGTCTTGGGCATAGTATACAATATTCTTTAGAAAAGCGTGTGTCTCTGTCTGTAAGAATATTACCATGCAAGCAGTTAGTCACTCTAGGACAGCATATTTAGGTCGGATTCAGAAGGTTATATGACTGGAATTTGTTAATTTATTTCCTGCTGGTGTGGGAGTGCGTATGTATGGGTGGGTGTGTATGTGCGGGTGAAGACACGGAAGTCTGGGAGCAATGCTTGCCTTCTATCAATCTCTACATTATTGTCATTGTTAGCGTTTGAGACAGGGTCTGTCACTGAACCACTGGCCATTGAGCCCCACGGTTCACCTCTCTCTCTGCCTGGCTTTTCCATGGAAACTGAGGATCTGAACTCAGGTCCCCATGCTTGCACAGAAAGAACTTTTCCCACCGAGCCACCTCCCCAACCCATTATAACCAAGTGTTAGTGAACCACTATAAACCGGCAGATCCCAAATTACTAAGGGGCTCAGGGGCCTCTGTCACCTTCTCTTTCCTGAATTTAAAGCAGTGCGCATGTGCCAAGGGTTATTTCTCAAACACAATCGAGCACAGAGGAGTTACGTCAGGGCATGTTTGTTTTACATGAAAATCTATGCACCTTTAATAAGAAACTAAGGTGATTGAGAGCTGCCGTTAGGACGCGCAAGTCCCCTGCACCTCTGCAATGGGCGTGAGGAAGACTCTGGCGCCTGCTCTCCCAGGCCAGCAGTAAGTTCCGGGCTCTCTCAGGAGTGCACATCTCACTTTCTATCCCAGGCTCTAAAGCCTTGGCTAATTCACCAGCTCTGCAGTGTAAGAGAGCTGCATCCGTGTATTGAGAAGATGCTATTTCAGATATTATAACACACATGATATTTTACACAAATAGAAACACACTGCATATCTTTTGATAACTTGCTATTTTCACCAAATCATAAAAGTTTGGTTTTTTGCCCCATATATCAATAGATATGCATGAGTTACATTCTTTAAAATTATTTCATTATATGGATATTCTATATTATATTCTACCATCTGCTGTTTCTGAACTCCTTTTAGGTATGTTTTCCTATTATAAACACAACTACCAGACATCCTATGTACACACATGTTTGCATGCTCTTGTGAATATTTATAGAAGCTAAATTCATAAGCATGAAACTGCTAGACAGCATGCATGTCTGAAATTTAATAGCTATTGCTGAATTATCCTCCAAGAAGGTTTAATCACTTTCCTTCCCAACCACACTGTACATTCCCCCAACATTGTGTCCATAAATCTTTATTATTTTATTCAAATTAATTTATAAAAGGGATTATATCATTTTAGTCTTGTGCCTTTTTTTACTAGAGAGAGAATGAATATCACTTTAAATATTTACTGACAAAACCTTTTTCTCCCTTTGGGAAAATCTTGTTTATATCTAAAAATTTCTCCTAGATTGTTTATCTACCTTCATAGATCTGGAGGAACTCTTTTATGATGGATATTAATCTCTTGTTGCAAATATTTCTTCTACTAAGACATTTTCTATCTGAATATGATCTTCTTTGCTTCACATGGATCTTTAAAAAAATTCCTTGTGTATAAGTCTTAAATATAACCTTTCTGTCTCAAAATAGAAATTCGTTTTTTGAATACATTCTGCCCACTTCTTATCAAATTTATTTCCACCTGTACATTACAATTTTTGTTGTGCTTTTTTCTGTCAGAAGCTATCAGTGATACTTGTTATTCTGTTGATTGGAGGGCATTGGTTCTGCATTTAGAGGTTCTAATTAGTTCTCTATCAGTTCTAATAGTATTCAGAATTAGTAGCTTTAAAAATCTTCTATTTAGAGAAACATTACCAGCCATAAAAATTCTATTTCACGCATTCCTTTCTAATACTAACACGTTTTATGTCTCTCTGGTCAAATTCCATTGCCTGCCAGGCTCCCTTTACTATGGTTGATGCCAATTCTTGCTACTCCATTTAAAAGGAGAAATTCTAAAAGCATATTTAAATTTCTGGGAGACAAATTTTTATTGAGTTAAGTTCCTTTTACTATCTAAAATGCTAAGACATAACAGAAATTAAATTTGAATTTAACCAACTTCTTTTCAATTTCCTAAAATGAAGTATATTATTTAAATAAAAGTGAATGCTTCCTGATCCTACATGAATGGCATGCACTCTGCTCCACAAAGACAGTGTCGCCATGCTAGGGGTTGCTGGTGCCATGTGAGTTGCTGTGCATGGCAAGGGAGTAGGACTAGAAATAGGGTTTTTTTTTTTTTTGAGCACATCAAAACAAATCACAAATTGACTATTAACATGGATTCCCTCACCTTGAAATCATCAGGAATGAGGAGTTTTGATGTTCGTAGAAAATTCAAGATATATCTGAACATCTGTCCATCTCTGTCAATGAAATAGTGCTGTTTGAGACTGTCCAAAACAATGGGTTCTGTACCATCAAACAGTCTTCCGATTCTGTGATAAAAAAAAAAAAAAGAGGGAAGAGTGAAGACAATTAGATCAGTTGTTTGGCCACGAAGACTCCCAGCTTCAGCTTGTGCCACTGTGAAAAGCTTCCACGGACAGCGGACTGCGCCAATCACCCACTCAGCAGAGACGGGTCTGAGACGTGCTGGTCCTTATTGAGGAGAAAACTCAGAATGGTCTCAGGTCTGCTCAGACACGTGCCTGTCTTCCCTGTCTGTCACCTGTAAAGGAAACGCTCCTGAGGTGGCGATCGCTGTGACGGGAGAGCTTTCCCCAGTGTTACCTGCTCTCTGCCATCCGCTTGTGGTGTCACTTCTCCCGCGTGTCTTTTAAACCTATCCTACTGTTTACAAAGGGTTCTGTTTCTAAAAATGTGTTTCAGCGTTTTCCCACTCATGAGCCCCAGGCTTCTAAAAAGACGGCAATAGAGTCCACACTACGAGCGAGTGAGGGCCGGCCAGTGGCACCGGAGCGTGTCGGCAGGCAGTACACTCCTCACCAGAGGCTCATCTGACTTCTCATTAATAGTATGGGTGGATGTATTACCCCATTTTTTAAATACAATTTTTTCAATGTTGTCATAACTTGCCCGTCTTGGTTTTGGAATGTTATTTATTGCTTTAAAGATTATTTTGAAATACTGCATTGTCTAGTACTATGTTGAAATGTGGCAAAGGTCACAGAAAATCAAGTATTCTACTCTTCAACATGACAAATCATATTTTTTTCCTTCTCTGGAATCAGACATGTGAACTTCTGTTTCAATGAAAATATTTCAAAGATAATTCTAAACTCATATCCTACCCAAAGGTGGATGCAAGAAAGCCACCGTGGGTCTGCATTTCTCAAACCCAGCAAGTTTTTTGTTGAACTTTCCGTGAACTAAGCATGATTCTTAAGGGTGCAGATTATCATCGCTCCATGGTTCTTTCTCTCTGTTACTGCTCGTTCTTTTCGCACCGACGCATCAATCAGACAGACAAACCCATTGCGTCACTCACGCGCTGTCTTCCAGGACAGCCTGCTGCAGGATGGGAAGGGATGACACTTGCTTGTCTCTTACTGAAACACTTTACTCTTCACTTAATAACATGATAGATGTATGGTTGACAGGGAAGAAAGGAGGCTGGATTAATGAAACGCTTCCCAGGCCTCTTCCACCAGCCTCAGCACTTTCTACATGTGACAAATCCATTATCCTCATCCTAATGATGAAGAAATCAGGTTGAAAATATGAAGAACTGGCCCAACGGGTTAAGTTGCAATGGGGGATTCGGCTGCCGATAGGACAGGGACAGCCTTGCCCTCATGGGAACGAAAAAAATTGTCACTGCGCAAAGAGAGCTTTTGTTTGAGAGTTGTTTTTGTCTATATTTGCTAAACAAGAACTGTATAATGAAATACAAGCCCTGATACTGATTAATTTAGGGGCCAGCATCAATGGTTTCATCACTTCCTTAAACAGGAATGAAAAGTATTTTATTTTTAATTAAGTCCTATGCTCTAGTGCTCTCGAATACTCACTCCCGAGCCTGGCAGTGCAGGGCACAGGACGAGCCACAGTGCGTGTGTGCTGAGTGGGTAGACAGGAACTGCCCGCTCCTGTGTGAGCAGAGTGCAGAACAATGTGACAGCCACTGACGAGCTGTCATCTGGATGCACGTCTTCCTGTATCGACATTTCCTTTGTATAAAATAGTTCCATTTGTTTTCTAAAATAAGCTTCCCCCTCACAGTTGATGACCAAACCCCACAAGTCATTCTGAGCCCAAAGGTTCACAGGAATAGCGATAGTCCATGGGAGCCAAGAGAAGTTTCTTAAGCTCGACTTAAGAAATTGTTGGCTTTTCAATTCTCCAAATTAGGAAAAGGGTGTCACTCAAATGGGAGTATCGCTGAAATGGGGGTTTTGTCGCTGAAATGGGGGTGTTGTCACTGAAATGCGGGTTTCGTCACTGAAATGGGGTATCACTGAAATGGGTGTTTAGTCACTGAAATGGGGGTGTCTCTGAAATGGGGGTGTCGCTGAAATGTTTTTTACGGTGTAAAACCAAGACAGAAAATGTGATATGTATTCAACAGAAGGTGTCTGAGGCACATGAGAAATTATAAAGAGAAAGCAAGAGAGGAAGAACTCCAGGCAGCCAGTGCAGACTCGAAAGGCAGCTGGGCCGTAGGCAAGGCCTGAGCAGTGGGACTGATCCCAGCCAGGGTTTCAAGGGCTGAGGAGAAGACCCCAGTCCAGCACTGATGTTCTCTTCCTGAATGAAACCCCCACAGTGGTCAAGTCACCTGATCCTGGCCTTGGACCTTTTATCCAGACCTATGACCCAGCGGTATGGAGCTACACTAGTCAACTAGAACCTGAAGGAAATGGGCTCACTACTGCTGGGAAAGACCAGATTGGGTAGGAGTGACCCCAAGGAACAGGAACTAGCAAAGACTAGGCCGACTTACATTCTCCCAGATGGAGGAGGGTAGTGGGAAAGCCTGCATGCTTCAGTCAGAATGGGCTGTGGAGAAAGGGTCAGGACTGTAGGGAGAAAGTGAGAGGATTGTAAACGGTCCTGGGGTGGCGGATACACATTCCTGACTGAGGTGAACGCCCTTATGAGGGGCAGGACCTTCCCTATCTGAGCAGTAAATGTTAGAAGTAAAATGGGATCTCAGTGCTCCACTTTCTGCCCACCTTAAAGGAGGAGCCTGTGAAAACAGAGCAGAAAAGAAGGGCAGGAGGTGCCAACAGCCGTAAGATGCTGTCTCCTGGTGGTTTTGAGATGTGGTAGATTCCTGTGGAAAATTATTGTTTGGCTAAACAAGTAAGGGGAGAAATCAACGGGACGGTACTTCTCGTGGACATATGAATGAGTTACAAATCACGCGGCAGTGGTGTGTAAATGCTGCTGCCTGGAAACTATGTGGACTGATTACAGTGTTCAGACCTTGGAGAACATTCCTGGTTTCCAACTGACCAAGACCAAGCCGTCTCCGGATGATATATGGCTGAGGTCTTTTTTCTCTCCCTTTTAAAAATGTATCTTTGCTAATGCTGAGAAAGACTTCCATGATGTTTTAAAGGTTAATAACTATTTTATTAATAGTAGCTAATTTAATAATAACTAATTTATTCTGGATAACTTCAGCCTCACACCAAAACTGACAGAATAATAAAATGAATCTAAGTGAAGAAAGACACCGTCACCCCCATTTCAAAACCCATGAACTCTTAACTGATTTCGTTTCATTCATGTCCACCTCCCTGCCTCACTGCCCCGTGCTGGGGGATTTGAACTAAATCTCAAAACATCACATCATTTTATCTGAATTCTTCATTAATTACTAGCATTATGAGACCTGCTAGAATCAGATGTAGGTCATGTTGAATATTTTCCTTCTTTGGTGCTTTTTCACATGAGCAGTGCTGAGTCTTCTTGCTTGTTGCTCAGGGCAGAACCTGCGGTGAACAGGCTCCTTTGGGTGAAAAGTTGGCCAGGCTTCCTGCTATACTGGGCTCCCCTTTTACCTGGCATAGTTGTGGTGGACACAGCGTGCATATAAATATGAAAGGGCTAAAATCTGGTTTACCTGCCCCTGTATGAATCTGTCCTTAAAACTGTTTTCTTCTGCAGTCATTCATCTCTAAGACCTGGTTTCTGTAAGTTACTGAGTCGGTTTCTCAAGAATTTCCCTTTCCTCCATGCTTGTGTAATCATTTGGTTATTCATTCAGTATCACTGAGCCCGTCTATACCAGTAATGGGTGTGGGTGCGTGACAAAGACATAGACCTTGCTTTTGTGGAATTTAGTAGTCCACGGGGCTGAATGCACGGACCAACGGCTGCATGCCCTGTGAATCACCATGGTGGAGTGGATGGTAGAATACAAAGGAGGTACAGCCAGCATCGACTCCACGGGGGTTATCAGGGGAGGCTCCCTGGGGTGGAGAAGGAGGGGAGATTAGCTGAGCACTTGGCTAGGAGGTCAGGGCAGGCTGGGGCTCAGGAGATGAAGGCTTCTCCCGCGACTGCTGTGTTGAATCAGGCTGACTGAAAAAGGAGGCTGAAGCAGAGGATGTAGAGTGAGGGGTCCGGTACATCAGGTGATGGGCCGCAGATTTGTTCTGAGAGTGATGGGATTGATGGCGGACTATTCTCTTGGGAATCTTAAGAGAAAGCAAATTTAGAAACGAGACAAAAGTGAGACGCTACCATGTCTGAAGTCACGTCTCCTCACAGCCATGGCTCATCCACACCTGTCTCCCGTGCTTGCTTTTGACCATGTCATGGGCATGGTGTGGTGTCTCTTAGCCCTGGCAGATAATGGAAATTCATGGGGAGCCTTTAAAAAATACCAATCTCAGCCCCTCCCCCCCCAGTTATTCTCATGCAGTTAGGAATAAGGCCCAAATGGCTGTAGTTTTTTAAAAGTCTTCATTTGTTTGTGAGACACGATCTCACTATGCAGCCCAGACTAACCTTGAACTCACAAAGACTCACCTGCCTTGGCCTCCCTCCCAAGTGCTGGGATTAAAGGTGTGTGCCACCACAACCACACTGGGCAACCCTGGACTTTTGGCCGTCCCTCCCTTCCTTCTCCCATATCCCAGATGCTAGGATTCCAGGTGTGCACACCACAGTGCTCTCACTAAGTATGAGTGTAAGGCGGGAGTGGGGGGGGGGCACAGAGACTCAGAGTGAGCCCCATCCACCTGCAGGGTTTCACTTAGTCATCCAGTCACCTTAAACTGTAACAGCCCTCACTCTGATAGCCAACCATGCTCTTAGAAAGGAAAGACCCAGTTCAACCTTTTGTTTTGTAAATGTAGCAACAATCATAGATAGACTCTCCTGGAGACACAGGTGGGCAGAAACAGTTTCTCTAAATCTCATCTCCTGCTCTGTGGTGGCCAGTGGAGATTGGCACATTCCAGCCCCTAGAGGGCAGCCACTCTAAGGCTAGTTATTACTAGGTCCCCTCAACGTCTTAGAG